GGCAAAAAACAAGCATTTTTATAGTTTCATGACAATAACTTGTGTGTAAGTGTTTGGATATTTCTGAAATTGTACTACAAGGTTCCATATCACAAAGGGAAAGCTGGAATTGAGTTTGGGGGTAATGCCAGAAACGTTTTGGAATTGGGGGCCAAAAAGGGGCCAAAAACAAGCATTTTTCTAGTTTCCAGACAATAACTTGTGTTCAAGTGTATGGATCTCTCTGAAATTGTACTGCAAGGTACCATACCACAAAGGGAAGGCTGGGATTGAGTTTCGGGGTGATGAATCATAAGGGGGTTCAAAAAATTTGGGGGGGGGGGGGGGGGGGGGTTTTTTTTTTCTTTTTTTCCTTTTTTTTTTCTTTTAAATTTTCCATTTTAAGTTGGTTATTTCTGATTTATATTTAAAAGCAAATAATAATGATATGGTAGGAGATACACACAAAACAGGATGTGTAAATTATTATATAATAAGTATTGAGCAATAGCAAGAAATTTTCAATTGCACAGTATTGCACAATAGCAAGAAATCTTCAATTGCACAGTATTGCGCAATAGCAAGAAATCTTCAATTGCACAGTATTGCACAATAGCAAGAAATATCCAATAGCACAATATTGCGCAATAGGAAGAAATTGTCAATTGTACAGTATTGCGCAATAGCAAGAAATATTCAATTGCACAGTATTGTGCAAAAGAAGATACTTCGTATAAATTGCTTATTTCTTGATCAATTTCAATGGGGTTTTATTCTTGAATTCTTGGGGTTCTTTAATATGCTGACTCTAACTGTGTATTAAGTTTTTGGATTTTGGGCCGTTTTTAAATTGGTCCACATTGAGGTCCAAAGGGTCCAAAATTTAACTTTTTAACTTTTAACTTTTTAACAAAAATTGAATTTTTAGGGTTCTTTGATATGCTGAATCTAAACATGTATTTAGATTTTTGATTATGGGCCCAGTTTTCAAGTTGGTCCAAATCGGGGTCCAAAATTAAACTTTGTTTGATTTCATCAAAAATTGAATTATTGGGGTTCTTTGATATGCCGAATCTAACCGTGTATTTAGATTCTTAATTTTTGGTTCCGTTTTCAAATTGGTCTACATTAAGGTCCAAAGGGTCCAAAATTAAACTTAGTTTGATTTTAACAAAAATTGAATTTTTAGGGTTCTTTGATATGCTGAATCTAAACATGTATTTAGATTTTTGATTATGGGCCCAGTTTTCAAGTTGGTCCAAATCGGGGTCCAAAATTAAACTTTGTTTGATTTCAACAAAATTTGAATATATGGGGTTCTTTGATATGCTGAATCTAACGATGTATTTAGATTTTTGATTTTTGGGCCCCGTTATCAACTTTGTCCACATTGAGGTCAAAAGGGTCCAAAATTAAACTTTGTTTGATTTCATCAAAAATTGAATTCTTGGGGTTCTTTGATATGCTGAATCTAACCATGTATTTAGATTTTGGATATTGGACCATAATAGGTGAATGTCCAATTTAAAATTTTTAAGTTCTTAGACCACATTCATTCTGTGTCAGAAACCTATGCTGTGTCAAATATTTAATCACAATCCAAATTCAGAGCTGTATCAAGCTTGAATGTTGTGTCCATACTTGCCCCAACTGTTCAGGGTTCGACCTCTGCGGTCGTATCAAGCTGCGCCCCTGCGGAGCATTTTATTTGTTATTATTTTGAATATTATTATAGATATATATAAACTGTAAGCAGCAATAATGTTCAGCAAAGTAAGATCTACAAAAAAGTTAATATGACCATAATTGTCAATTGACCCCTTAAGGAGTTATTGCCCTTTAAAGACAATTTACACAATTTGTTCATCAAGTTTGCTAACATTTAAAAATCTTCTCCTCTGAAACTACTAGGCCAATTCCCTTCTAACTTTAACTAAATAATCCTTAAGGTATCTTGTTTATAAATTGTATCTGAAGTTTGTATCCATCGACAAACATGGCCGCCATGGCTAAAAAATAGAACATAAGGGTCAAATGCAGTTTTTGGCTTATATCTCAAAAACTAAATCTTTTAGAGCAAATGTGACATGGGGATAAATTGTTTAATTGGTCAAGATCTATCTGCCCTGAAATTTTCAGACGAATTAGAACAACCCATTGTTGGGTTGCTGCCACCGAATTGGTAGTTTTAACAAAATTTTGCAGTTTTTATACGACCGCACAAAAATTTTTGTGGTCGTTTATTGGTATGACTTTGTCGTCATCGTCTGGCGTCGTCCGGCGTCGTCCGAAGACACATTGGTTTTCGCACTCTAACTTTAGTTTAAGTGAATGGATCTCTATGAAATTTTACCACAAGGTTCAATACCACAAAAGGAAGGTTGGGATTGATGTTGGGGGTTATGGTACCAACAGTAAAGGAATTAGGGGCCAAAATAAGCATTTTTGTAACTTCCAGACATAACTTGTGTGTTAGTGTATGGATCTCTCTGACATTGTACCACAAGGTTCCATATCACAAAAGGAATGCTGGGATTGATTTTGGGGGTAATTGCCTCAAAATTTTAGGAATTAGGGGCCAAAAAAGGGGCAAAAAACAAGCATTTTTCTAGTTTCATGACAATAACTTGTGTGTAAGTGTATGGATCTTTCTGAAATTGTACTACAAGGTTCCATAGCACAAAGGGAAAGCTGGAATTGAGTTTGGGGGTAATTGCCGAAACGTTTAGGAATTGGGGGCCAAAAAGGGGCCAAAAATAAGCATTTTTCTAGTTTCCAGACAATTACTTGTGTTCAAGTGTATGGATCTCTCTGAAATTGTACTGCAAGGTACCATACCACAAAGGGAAGGCTGGGATTGATGATGGGGGTAATTGCCTCAATATTTTAGGAATTTGGGGCCAAAAAACACATTTTTCTAGTTTCCAGACAATAACTTGTGTGTAAGTGTATGGATCTCTCTGAAATTGTACTGCAAGGTTCCATACCACAAAGGGAAGGCTGGGATTGAGTTTGGGTGTGATAAATCATAAGGGGGTTCAAAAAATTTGGGAAGGGGGGATTTTTTTTTTTTCCTTTTTTTTCTTTTTTTCCTATATTTTCTTTTAAAATTTTCCATTTTAAGTTGGTTATTTCTGATTTTTATTTAAAAGCAAATAATAATGATATGGTAGGAGATACACACCAAACAGGATGTGTAAATTATTATATAATAAGTATTGTGCAATAGCAAGAAATTTTCAATTGCACAGTATTGCACAATAGCAAGTAATCTTCAATTGCACAGTATTGCGCAATAGCAAGAAATCTTCAATTGCACAGTATTGCGCAATAGCAAGAAATATCCAATAGCACAATATTGCGCAATAGCAAGAAATTGTCAACTGTACAGTATTGCGCAATAGCAAGAAATATTTAATTACACAGTATTGTGCAAAAGAAGATACTTCGTATAAATTGCTTATTTCTTGACCAATTTCAATGGGGTTTTATTCTTGAATTCTTGGGGTTCTTTAATATGCTGAATCTAACCGTGTATTTAGTTTTTGGATTTTGGGCCAAGTTTTTAAATTGGTCCACATTGAGGTCCAAAGGGTCCAAAATTAAACTTTGTTTGATTTCATCAAAAATTGAATTATTGGGGTTCTTTGATATGCCGAATCTAACCGTGTATTTAGATTCTTAATTTTTGGTTCCGTTTTCAAATTGGTCTACATTAAGGTCCAAAGGGTCCAAAATTAAACTTAGTTTGATTTTAACAAAAATTGAATTCGTAGGGTTCTTTGATATACTGAATCTAAACATGTATTTAGATTTTTGATTATGGGCCCAGTTTTCAAGTTGGTCCAAATCGGGGTCCAAAATTAAACTTTGTTTGATTTCAACAAAAATTGAATATATGGGGTTCTTTGATATGCTGAATCTAACCATGTATTTAGATTTTTGATTTTTGGGCCCCGTTATTAACTTTGTCCACATTGAGGTCGAAAGGGTCCAAAATTAAACTTTGTTTGATTTCATCAAAAATTGAATTCTTGGGGTTCTTTGATATGCTGAATCTAACCATGTATTTAGATTTTGGATATTGGACCATAATAGGTGAATGTCCAATTTAAAATTTTTAAGTTCTTAGACCACATTCATTCTGTGTCAGAAACCTATGCTGTGTCAAATATTTAATCACAATCCAAATGCAAAGCTGTATCAAGCTTGAATGTTGTGTCCATACTTGCCCCAACTGTTCAGGGTTCGACCTCTGCGGTTGTATCAAGCTGCGCCCTGCGGAGCATTTTATTTGTTATTATTTTGAATATTATTATAGATATATATAAACTGTAAGCAGCAATAATGTTCAGCAAAGTAAGATCTACAAAAAAGTTAATATGACCAAAATTGTCAATTGACCCCTCAAGGAGTTATTGCCTTTTAAAGACAATTTTACACAATTTGTTCATCAAGTTTGCTAACATTGAAAAATCTTCTCCTCTGAAATACAGGTGAGCGATTCAGGCTCTTGAGAGCCTCTTGTTTTTTGTTATGCTTGAAGATATTGATTTAATACTTGGTATATAGTTTTATCATGACAAGTTACAGATCAAGTTCAAATTTTGTTCCGGTCGGATGATTTTGTGCAGAGTTATGGTCCTTGGACTTAGAAAATTCACTTAAATAATCAGTTTTCCACACTTTTTCCGTCATTCTTGAAGATATTGACTTGATATTTGTTATATAGTTTACACCATGACAAGTTATAGATCAAGTTAGCATTTTGTTCCAGGACAATGAATTTTTAACCGGTAGGGGACTATGTATTGCCATGCAATACTCTCAGAATGCTTGTTTTATATTCAGATGTAGTTTAATGATTTCGAAAATGCATACTAACTTTTTTTGAAAATCCAAAATATGCCTAATTTTGAAAACTCTCCTTAAATAATCTTTTCAACTGCAAAAAAATCCAAAAATATGATCTTGATTGAGACTGACTTTTTGATTTAACTGGAATAAATAATTTTTTTTAGGAAAAGAGAGCAGAAGAAGCAATACAAAGAGTTGAAGAAGAAGCAAAGAAAAGATTCTTATCAATGCCAGATAGGGATAAGGTATAGTATTTAGCAAAAAATAACAGAGTATATAAGAGATACAATCAAATGATAAATAAGAAGATCTTAAAATAGTTTTTTGACATATTAAATTCCCACATGACACCAAGATTCGAAGGAACAGTAATCATTTAAAAGTTGTAGATTTTGTTACAGTTGGAGGTTGGTCATAAAAAATCATTGAGGGTAATATTGCCCCTATGATAAACAGATTAGTTAAAGTGGGTAATGTAATATTCTAGAATGATTCCTATGATTTATCTGTAGATATGAGGATTATTTCATGGCTTCTGCTGTAAAGAACAGTTTCTATGTAAGCATTTTCATGTTCCCTATAAAGATAAAAAGTTTCATGTTAAAAAATTTAAATCCTAATAGAAAGTGATATAAAAGCACCAACGATTACATATACATTTTAGATAAATATTTGTTAAATATATAGTGATGTAATTCCAGAGAGCCTTAGCAGCTGAAAAAAGACTCAAAGATCAGAAACTGTCTGAAGGAATACAGGTTGTATTAAGGTTAGTATTGAAACATGACAATTTTAATAACATTATATCTTTAAATGAAATCTGTTTATTATTGAAGACTGTATGTAGTCCTCTAGATGTATTTTGTTTATTTTTGTCTCATTGACGTAGACCCTGCATCTCCTTTTATTCATACTGATTTAAAAAGTAATCTGCTAACAACACATGAAAAATGTACATGTTTGAGATACTCGATGTTTGAAATATCTAAACTCAAGGTAATATTTTAATTATATAATGATACTGCTATCTTAGCTCATTTAAGGAATGTGTTTTGAGACGCTCTTAGCATCAATTGTACACAGTAATGAAGAACTGTTTTATATGTGTAAAAAAATGTTAGTGAATTCAAAATAATGCAATTTCACAACATTCTTTTTTACTCTTTCAGCCGTTGTTACCAGTGTGGAAAGGACATGACAGGAAAAGTTCCATTTGAATATTTTGATTATAAATTTTGTTCTCCAAAATGCCTGAAAGAACACAGACAGAAAACTGGAAAGAGCTGATAGAAGATATTTTGTAGAAATTTTATTTTCAAATTTTTGTCTTGACTGCATTGTTCTATGTTATGTTATTTGTGATGATCAGTTACCATGTATGCCAAGCTTTGTGGTATTTGTTATTTTATCCAATTAAATCTGCCTCCTTATATATCCCATGTTGTTTTACACAAGCATATCATCAGTCAAATATGATTTATATAAACATGACATGAAAGTGAAAAAAGTGGGAAAAAACCAGCTCAATATGTGAAGGCATTTAGAAAAAAAGTCTGTATAACTGTTATTTTCACAAAATTTTCAAAGTCCAAAGCCATTTATTTTGTCAAAAATCAGTGGAGTGGAACTAACGTAAACTTGATCTGTAACTCATCATAGTAGACTCACATACTAAAAATCAGCTCAACATATGAATGCATTTAGAAAAAAAAGTCTGTATAACTGTTCGTTGTTGAATAAGGAACAAGGGTAAAACTATATGGTCCGACCTAAGTTGGAAGGGCCATAAAAATTTAGCAATACAAATCCCACCAAAAAAAAATGGAAGATGTGTGGGGGAATTGTTTTTGTAAGAAGTGAAATCACAAACACCTAAAATATTAGCACCTCCTGTCCACAAGTCTTGTACATTATAAGATTTGTTGATGAAGCCTATTGTGTGATAAGGCATCACACTATAGCAGGTTAGTGTATGCTTATTGTCTAAAGACATTACCAATATATAAACCATCAATACATATGAGTTTCTAAAAGAACTAAAGTTATCACATAATGGATTAAACAAATTGCAGATCATTTATTACGATTCATGTTTTGATGAACATTTTTATGCCCCCGTCGTAGCGGAGGGGGCATTAAGTTTAACCCTTGTCCGTCTGTACGTACGTCCCAAAATTGGTTTCCGTTCTCTAACTTTAGTTTGCCTCAACTAAATGTTATGAAACTTATACACAATGCTTATTACCACAAAACACAGATCAAGTTTGAATTTTGGTGGCGTCACTTTTACCGTTCTAGAGTTATGCCCCTTTACAAATGGAAAAATTGCTGAATTTTTCGTTTCCATTCTCTAACTTAAGTTTGCCTCAACCAAATGTTATGAAAGTTATACACAATGCTTATTACCACAAAACACAGATCAAGTTTTTATTTTGGTGGCGTCACTTTAACCATTCTAGAGTTATGCCCCTTTAGAAATGGAAAAATTGCAAAATTTTTATTTTCTTCTAAATATCATGTAATTTTATTAAAATTGGAGTTGTCTTCCTTTGTCCATGATTATAGTTGAATCAACTACAATCAATGCCTTATACAATGCAATGTTTGATTTTTACTTCCACTGATAAAACACAGATCAAGTTGAATTTGGTTAGTGTCACTTTAATCAATATTGAGTTATGCCCCTTTATAAATCGAAAGATTGCAAAATTTCTAGTTTCCATTCTGTAACTTAAGTTTGCCCCAACCAAACATTATGAAACCTATACACAATATTCATTACCACAAAACTAAGATCAAGTACAAATTTTTTGTTTCCATTTTCTAACTTTAGTTTGCCTCAACCAAATGTTATGAAACTTATACACAATGATTATTAATACATAATACAGATTAAGTACGAAATTTGATGGCAACATTTTTACCATTCTTGAGTTATGTCCCTTTATAAACATAAAAATTGCTGAATTTTATGTTCTGTTCTCTAACTTTAGTTTGTCTCAACCAAATGTTATAAAACTTATACACAACCGTTCTAGAGTTATGCGTGCTTACAAATAGAATAAAATGCTCCGCTGGGCGCAGCTTGATACGACCGCAGAGGTCGAACCCTGACCGGTTTGGGCAAGTATAGACACAACATTCAAGCTTGATACAGCTCTGAATTTGGATTGTGATTAAATATTTGACACAGCATAGGTTTCTGACACAGAATGAATGTGGTCTAAGAACTTAATTTTTTTTAATTTACCTATTATGGTCCAATATCCAAAATCTAAATACATGGTTAGATTCAGCATATCAAAGAATCCAAAGATTTCAATTTTTGATGAAATCAAACAAAAAAAAGGTTAATTTTGGACCCTTTTGACCTCAATGTGGACCAATTTGATAACGGGGCCCAAAAATCAAAATACATGGTTAGATTCAGCATATCAAAGAACCCCATATATTCAATTTTTGTTGAAATCAAACAAAGTTTAATTTTGGACCCCAACTTGGACCAACTTGAAAACTGGGCCCATAATCAAAAATCTAAACACATGTTTAGATTCAGCATATCAAAGAACCCCAAGAATTCAATTTTTGTTAAAATCAAACTAAGTTTAATTTTGGACCCTTTGGACCTTAATGTAGACCAATTTAAAAAAACCGGACCCAAAATTAAAAATCTAAATACACGGTTAGATTTGGCATATCAAAGAACCCCAATAATTCAATTTTTGATGAAATAAAACAAAGTTTAATTTTAAACCCTTTTGACCTCAATATGAACCAATTTGATAGCGGGGCCCACAAATAAAAAATCTAAATAAATGGTTAGATTCAGCATATCAAAGAAACCCATATATTCAATTTTTGTTGAAATCAAACAAAGTTTAATTTTGGAACCCAATTTGGACCAACTTGAAAACTGGGCCCAAAATCAAAAATCTAAATACATGTTTAGATTCAGCATATCAAAGAACCCCATATATTTAATTTTTGTTAAAATCAAACTAAGTTTAATTTTGGACACTTTGGACCTTAATGTAGACCAATTTGAAAACTGGACCCAAAATTAAAAATGCTTTTAAATTATGTTAAAAGAAATGCATATTTATAAAGGAAGACCAGTAAAAATATCTGAAAATGTTGAACTTTTTTTTTTTACAAAAAAATCCATATGAAAGATTTGACACCATATTTTAAATTCTATTATAAAATAGATTAAGTTAGCACTATGGTAAATTTAAATGGGTAATTATGGTTGCAAACTCCATTGGAAATTTGAATTGAGATTATGACCATATCTTGAGGGAAAGAATTTTTTTTTTGGGGGGGGGGGGGGTAAAAAGAAATTGTGGGGATCAATTTTTTCTCATTTCAGATATATTATTTTTTTTTCAAATTTCAAATATTGAAAAATTTCAAGAAGTAATCTTTAATTGCACAGTATGGCGCATTAGATTTGTAAAATCTTTGACCACATGTATTTATTTGTTATGCCTAATCTAACCGTGTATTTAGATTTTTAATTTTGGGTCCAGTTTTCAAATTGGTCTACATTAAGGTCCAAAGGGTCCAAAATTTAACTTTGTTTGATTTTAACAAAAATTGAATATATGGGGTTCTTTGATATGCTGAATCTAAACAAGTATTTAGATTTTTGATTTTTGGCCCAGTTTTCAAGTTGGTCCAAATTGGGGTCCAAAATAAAACTTTGTTTGATTTCAACAAAAATTAAATAAATGGGGTTCTTTGATATGCTGAATCTAACCATTTATTTAGATTTTTAATTTGTGGACCCCGCTATCAAATTGGTTCATATTGAAGTCAAAAGGGTCCAAAATTAAACTTCGTTTGATTTCATCAAAAATTGAATTATTGGGGTTCTTTGATATGCCAAATCTAATCGTGTATTTAGATTTTTAATTTTGGGTCCATTTTTTTAAATTGGTCTACATTAATGTCCAAAGGGTCCAAAATTAAACTTAGTTTGATTTTAACAAAAATTGAATTCTTGGGGTTCTTTGATATGCTGAATCTAAACATGTGTTTAGATTTTTGATTATGGGCCCAGTTTTCAAGTTTGTCCAAGTTGGGGTCCAAAATTAAACTTTGTTTGATTTCAACAAAAATTGAATATATGGGGTTCTTCGATATGCTGAATCTAACCATATATTTTGATTTTGGACATTGGACCATAATAGGTAAATTAAAAAAAATCAAGTTCTTAGACCACATTCTTTCTGTGTCAGAAACCTATGCTGTGTCAAATATTTAATCACAATCCAAATTCAGAGCTGTATCAAGCTTGAATGTTGTGTCCATACTTGCCCCAACTGTTCAGGGTTCGACCTCTGCGATCGTATCAAGCTGCGCCCAGCGAAGCATTTTATTAGTTTCTGTTCTATACATTAGTTAGCCTCAACCAAATGTTATTAGACTTACACACAATGCTTATTACCACAAAACTCAGATCAAGTTCAAATTTGGGTAGCGTCACTTTTACCGTTCTTCAGTTATGTCCCTTTATAACTATATGATATGCAAGCGGTGGCATCATCTGTGTCCACTTGTGGACACTATCCACATTTATTTAAATCTTAAGGTTGAAACTATTTCACTCAAGTTTGACATAAGCTTGTTCAGGTATTCTCTTTAGGTAGTTTTAGAACTGTTATCTTTTTTTAACATTGTATACACCTTATTGCCATTTGTCCACTATTGCTTGTTATCAGAGACATTACCGTAATTTTGACGTCATAAGAAAAATGGTCTGAAACATCAATGCAAAAGTGATTGTTGTATGATGTTAATAGTTCAAGTGTCGTGAAAATCTTGGGACAAGTGTTGCATATTCCATAATAGCCTTGGTCTATTTAAAACTGTTTGTCTTTTCCATCTTGCAGCTCAGAGCATTCCTGATAAAAGTAAATTCAGCCTGTCCCAAAGGTGCAGTCTTAAGCCCATGAGTCAATGTTTCAGTTTTTCGACAAGATTTATAACATTGGTCTATCAATGTCAGCATATAATTTGTAGGTTGAAACTCCTCGAGACAAAGAAGAACATGATATTTTTTCTATGGTCTTTCATCCTTTTCAAGATCTATAGCTCACAATGTATTATTAACATCTTTTTTACTTATTTTTTTATTCTGAGTGCTCCTGATCAAGATAATTCCAGAAATGGGCATTGGAGTCAGCAAAAACGTATATTTTACCTTGATTTACTTTTGTTAAAGTCTCTTATGTTAAAACAAGCTTAAACTGATGAAATCTTTATAAATGTTTTAAAAGGTGAGTATAACAATTGATATGAAAGGGGAACCCTTACAGAATGCGGAAAAATAAGTACTGCTCAGAAAGGTTGCTCTGAGGAATACAAACTGAAACTAAAAGTTTCAAATGAAAAAAAAAACAATGACCATTATCTGCAGAAATAGTATAA